TATCTTCATGTGACTCGGAAAAGGAACCAATCGTTAATAATTCTGGTCAAATTTGCAGATCATTTGACCAGATCTAAAACAAAACAATCTCAAATGATCTGCAAATCAGGTGATACAAACAGTGTTATAAATTCAAAAAATTTTTATTGGCGCAAACGCAAAAAAAATATGCAAAAAAAAGAAATTTAAACGCACTTTATATATACGGGAACACTGATGTATACGCAAATTTAAATCTATGTACCGCATTATATAAAGCTGGCCATAATTATGCCAGCTGGCCTGAATTATAAAAATCACACTGCGCAGCCTCTCAAAAATGCCTGCGCAGTGGCCCATCCCTAGTTTTACCTTATATTGATCATGAGGTTTTGAACAGAGGTCAATATACTAAATCATCAGATATTTATTCATTTGGAATAATGATGTGGGAAAATTTGTGTGGAAAAAACTTGACGGATGTTTATAGATTAAACCAATGGCTTACGACCGCCCCTCAACAATAAAGAGAAGCAGTTTTCTCATATAAGCATGAAGAAAGAATGCTCGCCAGTACGTTATGTAAACCTTATGAAAGAGTGTTGGAATAAAGACCCAGAAAAACGACCAACAGCTGAAGCGCTTTGTGGAATTTTTGAGAAATGGAAAAAAGAAGATGGTATTTTATTGGAATTTACTGAATCTAAATTTTCTCCTAACGATGTAGAAATTAATTTTATTAGTAAGTGTATAAGTTCTATTAGCAGTTCTATTAGTCAGGCATTTTCGAGTTTGGTTATTCCATCAAATTCTAATTCTAAAAAAATAAGAGGTCATTATGTTTAAAATAATATTTTATTCGGGGATTATTTATATTATGTTTAACTGCAGTTATTGGTCGCTTCGCGCCCAATAACTATATATTATTCAAATAAAAAAATTAATCCACTAAAATAATTATATACTTCGGTCAACAATATATTTAAAAATTTAAATATAACTAAATCAAATTATTACTAGAAAAGGACTAATTAAAAATAATCTTTAGTGTGGTTTACAAACTAAATGAAGACCGTACTGCAAATTAGAGTCAGTCCAAGTTTTTACATGAGCTAAATTAGATTTATAAAAAAGCGTTACTAAATCAAGTTCATTGTATTTGTAAGAATGTACAGATAGAATAAGTTCGCCTTCTTGTACATTTATTTGAATTTTTTTGTCAAATTCGTTGATAGGCATATATTCCAATATTTGATCCCTTTTTGAGCGATAATAAATTTCAACTCTGCCTTTATCCTCATTATATGTTGTAAAGTAGTCAAAATTATTCCGATTAATGAATGGCTGGTCTAAAATAGTATTAATATTATCTAATCCATTCATATGGAATTCTATGATAGGTGGATTATTATATGCAATAGTAAGGTTTTCAAGGGAATTTCTTTTATCGATTCCTAATAAAAACAAATCACCAGGACCCATTGCTTTTGTTTGAAAATGGCGGAGAAAATTTGTTGCATCTTCCCGACTAAAATTTCCGATTGTGGTGCCCAAAAAAATGATGGCCTTTGGTTTATCATTTGACAATGTTGCAGTGAAATCAATTCCATCCTCAAATGTACCCCAAAGACCAATAAGCTTAATGTTTGAAAAAGATCCTAACGATTTTAAAGATTTGATAAGCTCATGTTTCATAAGATCAAGTGCATAATAAGTAATATTCTTCCTTTTTTTTTCCAAAGACCTAAGAATAACTTGAGTTTTGCGTAATGATCTATATATTAACATAAATAATTTAAATAATTTAAATAATTTTAGATTAA